TCCATACATCAATCCATCCAACGATCAACTATTCTAAACACACACCAGCAACACTAAACACTAATCACCATCACAACAATTTACCCACATTCACATCAAAACATCAACTATAAACTATTCCATCTCTTCAGAACCATTATCACAACAACAAAAACATTCAACAACAACACTCATCAACACATCTACCAATAGCAACTATAAACTATTCCATCTATTGAACAATATTATTATCTGACGAACCGTTTTTGGGAATATTATTTTCGTGGATGCTTGGTGTTTGCATGAAGATTTTGTACATAGTTTTTCTATTGTTCCTTGATCGCTTATTCCCACTCATTGTTGATAAATTTTTTTTCATAGCATCGTGGTATTTACTAAGCGTATCGTGCATCATTACTATTATGTCTGAGTTTCTCTATTTTGCTTCCCATTTGTTAATTGAAATTACATATTTATCATAAGTTTAATATTTCTTCGGTTAATGTGATATGGACATTATTTTGCTGTTTCAAGCTTACCTCAGCACATAATTGTGATACTTTTGCGTTGAGTTGATCTAACAACGCACATGCTTGTTGAACTTCTTTTTCTGGTCCAAGTACAATGATCTCCATATGACTTAATTTATTTGATTGTCCTTTAGTATTATTATTATTATTATTTGCAAATCTTATATGTACTCCTTCACACTGTTCACAAATTGACCTTAAACTTGGAGCTTGATCTCCAGCGAATTTAGTTGTCAAAGCTGATGGTATAGAAACAGTTACTTCTTTAACAGTAGCCTTCGAGATAAATAAGAAATATGTATAAGACAAACAGACAAAGTTAACAAATGTACAAAATAGGAAATAGAATTTACACAAATATTTCATGGTTGTATTATAAATATTCTTTGCTCTTTCATATCATCTATTGGAATTCTGTTGGATTATGTTTTGGTGCGTTTGTACCTGCATCATAAACATCCACATTATATTTACTTTATAAATTCTTATTGGCAATAAGTTTCAGTTACGTGCGATAGGATGCTTAAGTTTCCGAACATGGGCAAACGGCTTTTCAATGCATCCCGGTTTTCATCAGATGTCTTATTGAAGTAAGTCGGTGGTGCAAATCTTTAAAGGTAATTCTTATGTTCCTTCGAAGATATTTAACAACAGGCCCATTAACCACAGTCTTTAGTCTAAATACATTATAAAATCATTTGGTTTTACGAGCGTAGCTCGTGCGTATGTGTTCATCGAAGGGTTGATAGAGAGAGATTCAGAAGGATAGCTTGTAATATGACCAACAACGAGAATCAAGTCCAAAAGGACGGAGAAACTGACAAATATAATCAACTAACCCTACATGAAACACTAACAGTATTGGTAATAATAATAATAATAATAATAATAATATTGATAATAGACTAGAGTGGATAATGAGTGAAAAATTCACTGCAACTACTAGTTATGGGGGTAAGATTATTCATGAAATAATAACATAAATCAATAAGTCGAATTGTCCCGTTGTTGATATTTAACTGAAATTAAATCAGTCTTGGTTAATAATCCGCATTTGATGCACAAATCCCGACCAAGACTGATCAAACTTCAACCAAAAATATATCAACAACGGGATAATTTAAACCATTTCAAAATGAATTAAAACTCATACCAGTTGCAAAAGTGAATGGCGATCCAGATTTAGTAGCTAAGTGGATAAAGCGATGACATTTAAAGCAAACGACAATGATTTTGAGTGCCGGAGTGAACATTAACTCTAAGATGCAGCCACATCCAGCTGATGAGTCTCAAATAGAACGAAATGTGCGTCCTCGATTACACTTCTAGTCAAATTCCATCTATTTTCTAACAATGATTTGAAATGAATATGTTTATACACCACATTCTAGGCTGTTTGAAACGAAGAATGCCTTTCTGGAGAAATAGATCAGGCAAAGTCCTTACTACAATACACTTTTTTAAAGCTGGAAATGGATTTGGATTCATGAAGCAATTTATTTGAAGTTTAAATTTTCACAAGATTTATAAGAAAAACTCCTTTTCCAATTCGAATATAACACAAGTGTTTTCATGTCAGAGAATCGTATGCAATTTGTGGAAATAATATTTACTGTGGATAAATCCGTACAAAACTATCAGAGCACGTTTGCTAAACAATACTGGCAAAAATGTCAAAACTTACAGGGACAGTATTTAAAGTGAATATGTCTATCATACCCAAAACTTTTAATTTAATACTACTAAATAAGATAAAATTGAGGTATGATTAGAATATCAACCGTAGAGTACTGTGATAATTTTACTAGCACTGGAGCATACATAAAAAAAATAATTCAATTTACCAAACACAATAAACAGGCGATTTTTCCTAAACAGTGAATTCATACGGTGAGACTATCAATTTATCAATGTTTGAAAAAAAAGGTTAACGAACCAGTTTCTTTTGTAATTCTTCTAACTGTTCAATTGCCCTGCGCACATTTTCCTCTCGTCCAATTACAGTGAAAATTTCAGGATTAGAACCAACATTAGGATTTTGCAGACGTGTTTGTGTATCTTCAAGAATTTTACGCACTCTTGGATATTCACGTCCAAGAAAACTAGACCGTACCTCTTTGAAAATATATATCTGTAGATGAGAAGTAATAAATAAATAAATATATACATATATACACCAGGATTTCCAAAGACCACCTGAGTAACTTCTTGTCTGTGTCCCAGCCTGCTCATCACATTATTTATATCATTCAAATACGATTGTACAGCTTTTGAAATTAAAGACATTGGAAAAAATCATTTTCAATAAGGTGAAGAAAACAGCGGATGTGAATAAAAAAGATTGATAATTTACACAATTATTATAGACATTAAAAAGTTTTGTTCAATGTCCAAATAAGACACTTTATGCGAGAGAAGAATGACAAATAATCATTACGGAATCACTGCATATTTACAATTATTTTGCACTTGGTAACTGAACTGAGTGAGTGGTTCATATGTTTGTGTATTTTCTTTTAAAACACCGAATTACGAATTCAAACACTACTTTACATGCCTCAAAGTTAAGGCGGCCTGCTTGAGCATCTGGGCTACCTGTTCCTGCCATCTAGATATTTCAATAAGTTATCTATTTTTGTTTGTTTTAATATATCATTATGTCTATTAATCGCATAACCTATTCTGCTGCGTTTCTGAAAAGTGTACAACCTTTCGTTGTCAAAGTTACAAAAAACTCAATAAGAGACAGTGTGGTTGCTGGCAATATACAGCGAAAAGAATGCACATTATTCAGATGTTCATTTACTGAACTGCTAACATCTAACTGGCGATCACTCAATATTTATCGCCAGGACCGACCAAGAAGAAAGAAACGGAAACTTGTTGAAATACTTTGTGCTGAGAATTCTATATTGTACCAATAATATAATATTGAATAAAGCTAATAATAATAAATAATAATAATAATAATAGCGGCTACACTTCAACTTGTTCGAGAAAATTCAATCAACACTAAAGGGGTTAAACAAACATTGATCAGCTGAATAAACACATCCAACACAGTTTATCACTTTCATAGATCAGATCACGAACTGATATTAGCTAGAATATTATTGAAGACCTGGAAGCACGGGACAGCTGATCGGTCAAAGTGTGAGATTTCTCAGCAGTGCGCATCCACGACCCCGCTACAAAGAATCACACTTAGGACATTCGATTGCACTAATCAATATATTGATGAATGATTTTAGATATTGATACCATCAAAAGAAAACTTCTAATTAAATACATAAACATTGATATTCAACCCTACCTCTTGTATATAGTTCTCCTCTTTCACTAATTTAATAAGTTTGTTTAACTTTTCACTTGCTGCATCGACTTGCTGACGATCACCTCTTAGTTGAACAATACTTTTAGTTGGATTTTCTTCAAACATGGAATCATTTGCATCACTTTCAGGCCATATAATACGTACTTGAGGGAATGTTTCGTAAATGGTACGAATATAAGAAGTTCCATTTATGGTTGAACGTAACAAATTCTGGATATGAGGATCAATAATCATATCTTTGCATTTCTCATTCTCCTAAAACAATATAAACGATGAAACAATCCTTAGTTCCTTTTCATAGAAAAAAGGATTCGTAAATAACTGAATGAGACGTTAGTTTGTGAAAATAGCACGTAACGAACAACAAAAGATATGAAACATTATTACATCGACTTAGATACATCAAGTTTTAACGATATATATTGAGGACAGACCAATAATGGTCAAGTAGTAAATCTAATTAAGGCACAATTGAGCAGTGGACAAATACTTAAAGAAAGATATGCCAAAGTATGACGAAACTGCACAAAATGTTTACATGTTTGCTTCATAAACACCATAATGAACTTTGTATGGATATAGGCCCTAAATTGCCTCTTACTACGAAACATTCTTAATGACATGTTCATCTTTCCTAATTCACGCCCCCAAATGCCCTTGCACGGTCGAGAGAGGGGAGAGTCCGCTCTCCCTCGAAAAATGCTTTCACATGGCCACGCGTATATAAACTCTGCCAGGGAAGTCCTACTCATTGTCTTCTCGCGGTGGGGGTGTTGTTTACGAAATTGAAAGGACGAAAAGCGAATGTCCGGCTCTTTAACCGGGTTGGTGGACATGGCGAGTCCTCCTAGGGGAGTTGGAAAACCCTGATTACAAACCAATGGTGCACATGGGCTCTAGTATCCTGAAGGAAAAATGGAGTATGAACTAATTATTGGTCACCGGCTACCATGGGACTGCATCTCCTTAAGATGCTCCACTGCCTTGTGGATCGGACCTTTACATCGAAGGCTCCGAGTGTGGCCCCTAAGAAGATCACCTGCTTCGGTTTGGGCACCCGAGCAGTATCACAGCCCTCATACAAATCAAATGAGATTTGTGTGGCGCATATGTATCTGGTGCCTCCTTGTACCAATATCTATGTGTTCAAATAATAATAATAATTCCTAATCCATAGGATATTATTATTATTAATGTCACAACGACACAGCATGAAGTAACATCACATTTCCTACGGCATTGTTGATTGTGTCATAAATGATTATTATGAGGTAACTTCAACTCGATAAGCAAACCTGAATAACTTTGTCACGTTTAAAAACCCAAACATATAATATAGTTAGTTGTAACCAGAACCATTACGTCCGAATAAAAAAAGTTTGTAGGCTTTTGTCAAAGTGATGACTCAGTGGTCTGAGAGGAATAGCATTAACAACGCTGGACTACGGGGCTTAGATCATCATTGAAACTATACACACCTTTATAAGAGGAGTATTACTGCAGTATGTTATCAGGAAAATAGGTTCATGATAAAATTTTCTTTCACACGACCGATATAAAGTCAAGTTTATTAAACAATTTACGTCACTATTAAGTTAGGACTACCCAGATCTCCTAAAATTGTTCATTAAACCTGAGATTTTACTACTTATTTTGGACTAATTTTTTTATTTTATTTTAAATTAGTTCTCCATACTGAATCCCCTCTATACTTTATGTTCTCTATTTTCATGGCGTTTTAATAAATCATTCTGATCCCTCCACTTCCCAAGAGCGTTGCACACACATTTATATAAAATAAGTATCCCCATAACCGTCTTTGAGAATTTCATAAAAACTTCTAGCCAAAATTAGACTTTCTCCCCTTTAAAAAGCCAAAACCAGATACACAAAAATGAATTGGACTTATATTCACTATATGTGTATGAAGCTGTGTGAAAAACAAACATAATATTTCTAAAAATAAGAAAATACGTACCAGTCTCTCCACCAATTGTTGAATTTCAAGCTTTGCCTTTTCAACTCCAACTGGATCGCCTTCAATCACTATTTCATCAGAGAAAGCATCACCTCGATCTGAATCAGGAAGTCTAACGCGTACTTTATAGTCACGCAAACGACCAATGGTAGCTCCTTGTTTACCAATTATGTGTCGGTAGTACTTGGGATCTACTTTTACCGCCGCCATAGCAACAGTGGCTTGTAGTTCTGCTAAGCGGTTTTTTAAGCGCTCGACAATAACTTCGACTTCTTCACAAGGACCTTCAACAGAGATTCTGTCGGTGTTATCTCCAAAGCTTACTTGAACCTATACATGTACAAACTGTATTAGCAGGTCTAATAAACGGACAATGATTATCTATTTTACTGTATATAAAAACATAGCCTTATAGCAATTTTTGCCCAAAATAGGAAAGATGGAGAAATATTTAAAAATTACTATTAGTAGATAATGTTTTAGAAATAAAAAATGTACAAGCTGATTATACAATATGCATGACATTATTAATCAACCAATTAAAGGTTTGTGCACGTGGTTTTGAGACATGCCTTAAGTGAGAGAACTAGTGATAACAGCAAACTTCTTAAACCCATATAATGTGGAGTGAGGTTGAGGCTAGAAAACCATGGGTGTTTTAACATCGAAACGTAGCAAACGATTGAGTCCCGATATAGCAGTGTTTCTTTTAATATGGCTTCATTCAATATTATATTTTGGTACAATATAGAATTCTCAGCACAATGTATTTTAACAGGTTTCTTTTACAAAAAAAAACTAAACAACAAAAAAGGAAAAAGGTGAAAAAAGATCTGAAACTGTACAACTTTCCAAATTAAAGACATGTTTAAGAATACAAGTTATTGACTAGGTTAACTCTGACAACCTGTTCATCACAGAGTATATTTACTAGGTAAGGTATTATAGAACTTTTATACTTTTGCTTGCGTGCATAGATCTTAATGTAATTATGTGTCGTTATACCAGAACATATACAAGGAGAAAAATATGAGTGAAGGGGATGGTTAGTATCTGATAAGATAACACCAACCATGAGTTTGCAAAACTTTAGATGTCTATCCACAACCATATTATTAATAACCTCGAAAGATTCACCACACACCTTGCTAACTGCTTTCAGCACTCTCCGTAATACAACAGTCTTTTATCAAAAGCCCGGCAAAGAAGAATAGATTATATACAGGAATTTAAAAATTGTAAGAGTAAATGACGAGTAGTCCCAAAAGCATGCAGCCTCTTCATATAGTAAGTCAGACGCAAACTTTCTTCGATAACAGTAAAACATGAGAAGACCAAAAGGGATCAGAGGAAAAAGTAACACCAAGATAATTGACCTTTGACACTATGTTTATCAAAGTCTCCAATGGCAAAAGCGTTATGGGATCCTAAGATGGTGTTTAGATGCTGTTCATGTTTCATGCTAAAGTTAACAGCTTGACATTTAGATGGATTAAGTATGAGACCATTACCAACAGACCAAAATTCAATACGAGACAAAAACTCATTCATTTCTATGGGACTCAAAGAGGTAGAAATCGGCATACATACAGTGAGATCATCCGCATATTTCACAAAAGTGTTTTCTGTGGAAGATGGTAGATCATTCAGAAAAAAGGAGAAAAGAATAGGAGAAAGAACAGTTCCTTGTGGTACACCTTCATGAGACAGCAGAGACGCTGAACACTTTCCTCCAAATACAGCGTACTGTTCTCTTCCAGAGAGGTAGGAACATAGCCAATTGGTTATCTAGCTATCAGTAATGACGATGATTGACATATTAAGTAAAAGTTGTCCTGGTATAGAGTCAAAAGCTTAAGTATAGTCTAGAAAAGCGCATCGAACATACTTCTTACCCTTTTTCAAGCTGAACACTATATTGTGATGCAGAACAGCAACAGTATCTAAGGTGCTTCTTTTACATCTGTAAGCAAACTGATACGGATCAATGTGCTCTTTTATCGCGGGTTGAAGTGGGAGTATCAATAATTTTTCGATCGTTTTGAGGAAATACGAAGTTATTGCTATGGGTCTAAATTTCACACTCACCAGATACTTTCTTAGGTATAGGGATTATCTTTATCCTTCTCCACATTTTCGGTATGAGATTAGTTGAGAAGGATCTGTTAAAATACTCGTGAATGGACAAGATAGAAAGCCAGCACACTTTTTGAAAAGGAGTTTTGGAATATCATCAGATCCTAAACATCAGGATGAATTAAATGACTAGAGACATTTTCGGACACACAAGTATTAGTTGAACTTGTGGATATAGGGAGCATTACATCAGATGACTGACGTACAAAAGACTTATGTAAGTCACAAACATTCAGCTGGTTATCGCTTCTAATGTGCCTGTCACCTGTAAGTTCTTTAAAGAGTTTCCACATACTTGGAGAGTTTTTGCAAGACAGGAGTTTTTGAGTAAACATAGAATTGAGACGTCTAATCTCCAGGTTTATCAGACCATTTAGCTTACGAACTTCAATAGTCTTTCTCATTGTACATTCTTTCTTTTGCTCTCCGTGGTCGTTTTAGTTGTGAAGATGTAAGTCGACCAAAACTTACAAAAATGGTTTTAGTGGGACAAATATCAAAACAGAATTTAAGGTAAGACGTGGTAACATCAGTAGTGTTTTCCAGTGAGTCATCTGTAAATAATTCCCAGTTAGTCGTATGAAACATGTTTTTCAGATTTCGGATATTTTCTTCTGAGTAATTCCTATATTTGACTTTCTTGGATTGATGCAAGAGTGTATTCTTTCCATTCCTTCCATATACTTTAAGTAAAACGCGAATTATACGGTGTTAACAGTGTTTTCTTCTAGTGCAAGTATTAGCAACACAAGACAAGCCATCATTTTAAATGATTTCGTCTTTACAACTCATAGTCAAGGAAATCGGGAAAGGAAAGGAAGACTGCTATTCAGAAACAGCATGTCACATTCATTTTACACAGCATTTCACTCACGTTTCCAACCTCCACCTCAATACTGACGGCATGACAATTAGTTGTATCATGTTAGTTGAAACATACTAACGTCCGAATATCTCCACATTTATAGACAATTGTTAACTGTAACCATACATGAAGAACAGTAACATGTTTCACTACCCCTGAGACATCATTATAATAATTTGAGATTTTATCCTCCATAAGCACTTTTCTCCTTGCATCCTTGGCTAGTAGCTCACACACTTTTGAACTTCCACTTATGAGTTACACGTTTAGGTAGGATGTTTGCTGTTTTACTTATAAATGCCACAGAGAACCCATTTATAAGAGTCTAATGATAAACGAATTTTCTCTCCTTTCGCTCTTTTAAACCAAGGTGATGTAGTCGAACGATCCTAAATTAGATACTTAGGTGTTTATGCGAGTAAGTTATTATCATTAACTTCTTAGCCAGCATCAAGAGCTAGTAGTTTGTAAGTGATTATTTGTAGAATAAGAATACATACTGTCACCATAGCCACTAATTCTAAATAACACCAATTTTTAAGACCAAAACATGGGTACTACGAAATATACATGAGAACTTGAGCGTGTTAAAAGATGTAGGTCAACAATCTGTAAGTACCATCTCCTCTATGTTTAAACATGTTTCCGGACCTCCGCATTATCTATATAATGTTGGCGTCGGATGAGCGCCGTCCTTTCCTGACAGCGAAGATCGGAAAGAGGGCCGCATAGCATTCCCAACTTTGAAAGGCTACGTTTTGCAAATGTAAAGCAGAACATCTCTTGTTTATTCTAATGGTTAATTGGCTAAGTGTGAATTGAACAGATCGAGCGTTACTGTATATCGTAGTAGAGGTCTAAAAGTCAAATTATAATCAACTAAGTGGAAGTATCTTGAATTTTTAGCCAAAACATGGATGAAACTTACTCGTTTGTATCCTTCCAGTAATTCTGTTAATTTAGAACCTCCTCTTCCAATTAAAAGTCTATGAAAGCGATTAGGTGCTTCAATTTCTTCTGTCATGGTGCTTTGAGCCCGTTCATAAACCATTGTAAGTGCACGTCCAAGATCTTCGGGTTTTCCTCGCAAAACAATCTCCTCATTCCCATCATCCACTGGCAGTTCAACGGAAACACCCGTTTGAGCTAGAATATCTGCGATTCCAGAACCGCGCTGACCGAATATGATACGATGCTGTGATCTAGCAACCTTAACAGTAATTGTCTTTGTAGTTTCAAGCTGGAAAAATAAAATATAAAATTTTACAAAATCGAATTAACAGTGTCATCAAATGTGAGGAAAAATATTGTTAATAATCAACTTGGTGCTCGGAATGTTTCATACTCTTAGTTTCAGAATTTGTACAAAATTATGTACGAATTCATTAGGAAGAAAGTTTTGAAACAAAAAAGGGTAGTAACATGCACGTTCAAGGAAAAGAAATATTTTTGAGACTACATAAAACCAGATATACTGAATCAGTATACTCTCATATGCTTAAAAAAACTTACCCGTTCATTATATATTGCTTGAATCTCTTTAACCGCTTGTGCAACACCTTCGCGCTTGCCAGAAACTGTTATTTCATCGACTGATACATTTGGAGGAGGAATGTTGATTTTAGTGTCAGTTCGAGACTTCAGATCATTTACAATCTGGTTGTTCCTATAAAGTAAGACTTTTGTCAAAATCCATTCGGGTTAAACATAGTAATGAGTATGAACTTACGGCCCACATATAAAAGGATGGTAAATTTTTGGGATCGAAAGACGTTCAAACGCTTGTTGGGATTGTTTGTGAACAATTTCATATATTAGGCCTTCTGCTTCTAAAATCCCTCTTCTGGGACCTGTAACAATGACGACATTTGGATCAAGCGCATTGTGAGGTGGAATGCTTATCCGTGTCATCGTAGATGACTCCAGTTCTTGTAATCGCTCCCCTTTGCGACCAATTAAATAACCCCGACACTCAACAGGAACAGAAATTCGAACAGTTTCCTGGAAAAACAAGGTTGGGTTTGATTAAAAATAATGAGAACCGAAGCACCAGATAACCAGACACTTAGCTACAACGTATGACCAGGCACATGCATGCATCGGTTCACGTTACCACAGTTCATTAGCACAAAAAGATGAACACCAAATTTATAGAAGCAGTTAACTCAATGGTAGTTACAAAAAATTTCATAAAAGGATACGATACAGGGAGAAAGAATTGGTTGACGCAGGCCAGTCCTGAAGCAACAATTTGCATTAAAAGGGGGGAGAAACGCATCCCAAACACCCTGGCATTGTTGCACAGTGCTACCAAAAGACTGCATTTTATCATCGTTGCCACCAAACAGACCTGCCAACGAACGACATAACCTTGCAATATACGTGTGGCGGACGTGTTGTTTACAAATGACCATGTGCATACAACTGCTGTCAGGGAAGTCCTACTCATTGTCTTCTCGCGGTGGGGGTGTTGTTTACGAAATTGAAAGGACGAAAAGCGAATGTCCGGCTCTTTAACCGGGTTGGTGGACATGGCGAGTCCTCCTAGGGGAGTTGGAAAACCCTGATTACAAACCAATGGTGCACATGGGCTCTAGTATCCTGAAGGAAAAATGGAGTATGAACTAATTATTGGTCACCGGCTACCATGGGACTGCATCTCCTTAAGATGCTCCACTGCCTTGTGGATCGGACCTTTACATCGAAGGCTCCGAGTGTGGCCCCCTAAGAAGATCACCTGCTTCGGTTTGGGCACCCGAGCAGTATCACAGCCCTCATACAAATCAAATGAGATTTGTGTGGCGCATATGTATCTGGTGCCCCCTTGTACCATTATCTATGTGTTCAAATAAATAGTAGATAAATAAATAAACAACAAAATAAATAGATAAATATAGGTTCAAAACTGCTCTTTTCCATGTTATTAATGGCGTAGTTTGGAGAAAAGTTAAAGAAACTTTTTTGGCTGAGAGCAGATAAGAGTGTCATCTTTTTCCGATATCGTCCCACTTACACTTGACTTTTTAATTCCAGTTCCGTTTATTACTCTGAAAAGTTGTCTGCTGTTATCTACAGCCGTTGCCCAACACTGCTCACGGTCGTTCCTTAGACTTTTGGTTGACCTAGATCTGATTTGTTTACGCTCCCTATCGTGTTCAGAGCCTGATAAGATGAACTTAAGAGAATCTATCAGTTCAATAGACTTGATAGAAATTACTGGTTTTTCGTGACCCTTTAGTTTAAATCACTAGATGTAGCTGCTGCGTTTAGCTTTCTGAATTTCAGAAAGCTTTCTGTAAAAGTCATCTTTTACTTCATTCGAGCTGCAGTAAGTGGGAGCGTAGGCAGAAACGACGAAAAGGCAGCGACGTGTGTCCATATCCTTCCGAGCTCTTACGGAGCCGTTTAGCTGAACAGCACCTAAGCGACTGTTAACAGGGATCCATTCTAATAGCGATTGCTCTGCCTTCGCACTTAGTGCTGTGCTTACATCCACCAGCCCACGAGAATTAGCCACCGGGTCGCCAGATACATGGAGGGTGTATCTCGCCGGCTCTCCGCTTTGCCGAGGTGAGGTCAAGTGAATGACCACACTAGGATCCTGTATGTGTATTTCGGAGACACAGCATACACCAATGGTACGAGCTTCTAGGGTCTTAGCCAAGGAGGCCTGCTGACTGATTTGACGTAGGATACGTACGTTGAAGGTTTCAATGTGTAGTTTAAAACGAGGGTTCAGAAGACCTGGGACAGTGTTTTGCGTACTTGAATCGTTGGCCATGGTGACACTTGAGGAGGAAGTCAAAAGGGGGAGTTTAGAGTTGAAAGTCGAGGTAGGAGGAATAATAGGGATTGAAGAGGGAGATTAATTATGAATAAAGTGATCTTGAATGTTGTTAAAGTTGTGGTGTGTGCTACTTATATTGACATAAGTAGTATATGATGTTAGTCATGAACAGGTCTGGCAGCAGAGAGACAAGGGGATCGAACAGTAAAGGATGGAAACAGAATGCAATATGTATGAAAATGCAAGAACAATCAAGTCTGAGTCATTTTGAGACAAATGGTGGACATTTTGCAAATTAAGCATTTATTTTATGGTTATTAGATTTTATTAACAAGTCCTGTAATTTTTTGTTAAATATATTCGACTGTCCCCACCCGTGTTCTGCTCATTACAGAAATATAAGGGCGGTCATCACTTCCCGGTCGCCCACACTGCGGGAGGGTTCTTCTAGAGATACCTGAAAAGTAAATTGGGTTAGAGGTGGTCTTAATTACCTGAGAGCATGACCAAGGGACAACTGCTTGAGGCTGGTCACACACGACCTTATTGTGAGTAGTTTTCGTGTTAGCTCCGTACTTGTTGGAACCTTACCGCCGGAAACGGATATCCGCAGGATAAGGTGAGGTGTGTATTTTTAGGGTCGATTTTTTCTAACACCACCCTTCCTTGTGGGAAGTTAGCATCGCTGTTATGCTGGTTGTCTGAAGGAAATACCTTACTGCCGTTACACTTCTGTACAGCCAGCAGTACGACTTCGCCCTCGGACCTTGGGTTTGTGTATGTAGGTTTACGTAAATTGTACGCGCTCCAGTTAGCACAAGGAACGTAAGCTGGAAAATGTCTGCCCTATATCAACGGCCTAAATCTTCAGGTTGAAGACAGTATGAAAATATGGTAGCGAATACTAGGGAGAGGTAATCACTAACCTTCCCTGAAAACTACTTATGCTTATATGTATGTCATGAAATATATGTACGAACGCCTGTGTACCAGTGATATGCATGTGGTGCGTGAGACAGTCAGCTGTAGCAAATACGTTCCATGGGAGCGGTGTCCACCTATTCAGGTATGTAAATATACCTATATGTATACCATGGGATGCATGAGTGAAATCTTGTGTTACCAGTATGCATGTAACGCATAAATGCCCCCTGGTGCGACGCTCATGCACCAAGACTTGAGGGTATCGATTTCCCCAAGAAATCACATCCACGCGGTGAATTTGTGGGCCTTGACAATAGGGAGCTACTTTCAGAAAAGCCAATCGACCTCATCAGATAAGGCTTGACCAACCCCAATGCAGTTGGAACACCGCACCCCGAACGTACCGGTTATTACTGTCGGTTTTTAAAATACTGTTTTTCTTAACTTTCATTCAATGGGATTGTCACCTGAATTTCGAAGATAAATATGATGTAAACGTTTAATTCTTGTTTGAAAACCATGAGATTTAGTATACCAAGTATTTTCATCTTTATATGGCAGTCATTCACTTGAACTATAAAAATGAAACTCATCTGTTGAAGAACTAGTGATGATTAAATTGATCCATTCGAAAAATAGAGTTTATGTTATCATTTAATCCGGTTAAAATGACTCGATGTTTGAAATCTGACTTCGAAAATGAAGTACTTTCAGTAGTAATTTTGCTTTTTAAAACGGGCGAAATCTGCTTTTTATTCACTCAATTCGAAACCAATTCAAATCTCTGGGGGCTTCCCAGACAATTAAAATAGCCAATAGCTGTAGACCAACTTACAAGGCGACATTATCAGTGACCTTTTCTAACTAATTTTGCAGCTAGACAAGGTTAAAATTGAACTGCGTCTATAACTGACCACAGATTATTAACCCTATGTGAGCCATCTAACACATGCGGACAAACCATTCTGCCCTCGAGTAAATATTTTTTGTCGTAAAACCAACTAACAATTTTCAGTTTAACATAGAATACCGCTTGTAATCCTCTTACCTGTTGTTGTAATTCAGCTACCACCCTTCTCTTAGCTTCAGCCACTCTGCTTGGCTCTCCTGAGATAACGACCGTCAGAATATGATTTTTGGAGCTGTTCAAATTCATTTCAACATTTGTATCTCTTGCTATTTCCATACAGATTTTGCTCTGAACATTGTATCTTCTACCGGTTGAAAGATTATAGTCTTCATTATTAACGAATCGTCTTTCCTCAAAGGGTATTTCCAAGACCTAACAATGTTACTAGACAGACATAATCATACTTCCGTAGTTTTGGCTTGGTAGGAAGGTATTAATGCACCTAAAGCTTTGACAGGACGAGATAACCCCGCTTTTGGGAGGGCAGGAAAGTCTTGCTCATTCAGTTGTGAACTCAAATCTACATTTTCTCTCATAATTGCTGCACAAGCTTCCATAATTTCGCAGCGAAACCTAACACTCTTAGGACCCAACACGTCAAGAAGACCAGCAAGGTCAAGTGAGTGTAACGTACAGTACCAAAAAACACGACAGAAAGATTTCTACAGTGAAGTAATTTTAACTATTTGAGGAGAAAACCAAAGTCTCTCGATTAAAGATCTTTTGTGTGTAGTGGATAATAATATCTGGTTTTGATGATCATGTAGCCAAATACATCAAAACGTGAGATGATTCAAATGGTTGACGAGCTTCCGTGTCCATTAGTAGTGAATCACCGATTCCTTCAGGTAACGGCCTAGATACATAAAACAAGTAAGATTATTAGAAATATTAATAAATAGGTTTGAAATAGTTTTCTGAGTCCTCAAGAAAATACCAAGTTTCCTTCTTTGAGACAACAGGGATTTTGCTTTGAGTACTTCGGCTGGCATTGAATTCTAAGAGTTAGCCAGTCGTGGAAATTAGATGTTCCCAAAGTCCAGTTTACAGTATTGTATCTCCATTCTTCTCGTATTGCCCTAAGGTTTGTGTTGGAATCGGACTTAATTAGGTCCTCTAGAAAGTTCCTAAGATTGTGTAGGGGCAGTGCAATGTCATTGGTACCTAGCCAAATCATCCACCAATCAAGTCACTGAATGTCAATTAGTCCACCGATTCTCGTAATGGTCAGTAAAAACCAACGCGAATCAGTTCATTGCGCACAATGGTCTGGTCCATGCAATAGCGGTTGCACTCTGTTTCTTGTACCAACTCTAACTAATAGATCTCTGTAATGAAGTCATTTATGTTGTATGGTCACCAAAGCAGCCATAGTACCTGGATACGACAAAAAATTAGTCCACGTTGGTCATTAACCACGATGTGGGACTTTGAAGTTATCTAGTTGGTCACACATTCCTCGTTTAAATTGAGTATGCCCCCAATTATTCGACACAAACCATCTACGATGGTGATCTACGATTATTTGGGTTGTTGTAAGTTATTGAAAGATCGCCTTTGAGTCGCCTTTTCTCAAGAATAAAGATCCAGTGACTAAGGGCGTTCCTCAAAATGTCTGAATTCTAGTCCAGGAAATCGGTTCGGAGACCCAAAATCGAACGTAATGAAAAGCGCTCCAAATAACTGAATCCTTACCCATAAGAGTATAGGCTTCTCAAAGGTGACCATTGATTCAAAGCATCCTAAATGCTCCGGTACATCCCCTTAAAAATTTGCCCAAGCTCAGCATCAACACAAACTTCAGAGGTTACACACAGAAATCAGAGACAAAACATAATAAAATGAACTGTAAGCACACATTCTACTCTTTACAAGTAGTCAAATATGGGATTCGCTGTCGGATCACTACTACTCCACAAATGGCGTTGTATGTGTCGTCCACTGAATAATCTAATTTTCAAAAATAACCCAGGCGAGTTCAACAATTTTACTGGATGATTTTTTGTACTTAACATGTATATACTTTCCATTTGCTTTTGCCACATATTTGTAAGTGTCCCTAGGCTAAATGCAGTAACTTCTTATGAAATGTTTATAACGCGTCATATTCCTGTCTGAAGTTTCACATGCAGTCTTAACTTTGAATTTATTTATCTGGTCATGTTCATTATTTTTAAATTGTCATATACGTCAACAACCTGCTTGTTAACCTGGCCCGTACATACGTTACACTATATCTTCATGTCTTCTAAATTTAGAAATCATCTGAATCGCCTTTAACATTTATCAATAAACCCATCATAGTCGTTGTTGCTAATCGTATTTGGGTTTATGGATTGGTTTATCATATTAGCAGCCTAAAATGCGAACATAGTTTAGATAATAAGATTAAAAATTTAGGTACTATCAACTGCACTAGTAAAATAACTAAATCCTCAGGTAGCTGTTGGCTAAACAAACGTTTAAAATCAAAACTCCGTAGCCTACTAGAATTAACACTAAACGAATATTTCTGAATTGAAATTTATAATTAAATTAGGCGTCTCGGATTCTTTAACGTTATAAATTTCTGATAATTTCGAATCACCTAAAGCAAAAATACCTATTTTTCCACTGACTAATCCTCAATCAACACTATAACTAGTTAAACATAATAGTTTCAGGATATCGTCATAAAGCATTGTCATGACTTGACAATCACGTAATATGATTGATAAAATTAATGAAACTATTAACAAATTCGGTCAGCAAATTGACTTATAATTATCACTAGTGTTGTTTTTCTTTTATCTTCATTCACTACAGATGATTACAGTATGTTTCTCTATCAGTTGCTCATTCAGTAAATATCTCAAAACCTTGTCAGTCTAATTGATGGTTTAGCGACACAATCATGCATGCAAATAATCAGTATAAGCAGTCGAGCAAATCTCCTGCAAACTGAAAACATCAATGTCGAATTTACCCCAACACTGACTAAGGTTCAAGCCATTATCATAGACATGAGTTGGGAGTGTACTCCCCTTGGTTACAACTTGTGTTCTTCCTGATAATCACATGAGCATCACTCACTGTTAATCATCTTGTAAAAACTTATTTACCCGAATACATCCTGCAGCACCACATCACCTAGTAATATGACACATAGGCCTAACTGATTTTAATAACTTATAACCACTATATCTCAATTAAATCGTATTCCGCCTTATGATAAACTGCATACTTGCAACTAACTTGTATGCCCAATCAGCCGGCAAGTATAAATATAAATAAGTAGTCTGCCGCAGATCAGAACATTGAGTCTAGAGCATGTCTCTTACGAATACACTCATGTTTAACGATTTGTTCCTAGCTATCTGTCCAAAATTCATATAATTATCACTAACGTATTTAAATTTTGTTTTGATAACCATTCATGTGTATTAGTAGTATTACTAAATTCTATCACGGTCAAGTAAAAATGAGGTTGAGAAAATATCCCCGTAACTAAATAAACCGTATCAAACTAACTGGAACACTAGTTGGAATTCTTCTCCACGGTAATACTTCTGTTCTTTCAGTTAGCCTACTAATACAGATGCAATTGGAAATCACATATGGACAAGTGACCGGCATAATTGTAAATTGGTTTCATAATTTAAACCAAAACTAATACCAATATTAACATTTCAAAAACATTGACTGCTTTTAATATTTCTAAACAGAATACATACTACCTGTGAGTTAAATTATTAACCAACGGATATTAACACGCATCGTTTTATTATTGTTATTGTAATCCCATTTTTTATAGCTCAAATCTTCACCCAAATTTTCATTTCAAGTATGTTAAGTATGAAGGCAGATATTTTAAAATTATTTCATGTATTTCCCGACCAGATGCTGCCGCCTTCTTTTTGATTTATCTTTCAGCTTATCATTACCCCGGGGATTCTTCCTAGTCTTGGTAACCTTCGGCGCACGACAATCCCATCCAATTCGGTATCGAACCAACATCACGTTGATTCTGGTGGGAGAGTAGTGTAGTGGCATTTGACAATAACCGCACAATCCACAAAGATGAACACGAGACTACTCGGAAAATAGATATTCAATATTTAACGCGGAGAAATACCTAACTATGGAGAAGGCGCGAACAATGAATTGAATGGACTGGAGTTGATCGAGTGGCATGGCTCGGCCACGCAGGCGTGGTCTCTGCTGAATGTTACCTTATATCTTCTATTCATATTAAATATATTGTTCCTTCTCTAGCCTAACCTTGTTCTACATCATGTGTTGGTAATTGATACGATACAGTGAGTTGGTGTAGTCGATGGTGTGACTTCCACGTAAGATCTTATAGATTATGCACTTGTATCATGACAAATCTACAAATTTAGGATTAGGTCTATTATTAGATCAGTACTAATACCATAGTAGACCATAATTCTACAAGTCCAAGAGACTTCAAGAGAAAACATGTCAAAAGTATAGGTAAGTCACCTGATCCAAGCAATGATAGAAGCTCGGTAGCTGTTTGCATTAGGCGTAATGCTAAAAAGAAGAAAAAAGGACGACGAACAGAGCAGATGGGTATGACTGTTTAACGATACTTAAATGTCCCCAGTGGAACGAAGACACATATTTGGAGGTATGTAACCTGCATGATTGCAGACATAAAGTACAAAGGCAGAAACCAGGAGAAAATGTAATTATAAATCAGAAAAAATATTGTTTTGTGTACATGTGGTTAAAGCAAAGGGTTTAAATGGCTTTTTTTCATTTCTGGTCGACCTCGAAAACATTAGGTGACAATCCAGTGGGTTAGTATAGCTCATGACATATTCAGTTAGCTACACACAACATTGGCACACTAATTTCTTTTTGGTAACCAATATCACCACATTCATACGGAGTGTGAACCATGTATGTGTTAATAAAGGTTCTTGGTATCACGGACTTACATCTTAATTTTCCATATTCGTTACAGAACACCACGTACGTGACTGTGTTGAGTCAGTGATTATTCACCCTCCTTTACAAACTGTAACTGTAAATGCGCGATAGAACTTACTATACACAGGATTTCTGTATTGTGATTAAGACTTTCATTGGCAATGCAGCAGTCTTCTGATCGTAGTTATACATAATTAGGATGTAAGTTATGGAAAGTTTCTAGAAGAAAGCCTACTTGTACTAAGTTTATTAACTTGGTGATGTCATTTGTTTCAGGGAAGCAAAAGTTGGGAGGCAGTAACAGACGATGGGTTTGTGATAAAAAAAGCTCATTTTCACTGTAATCACTAACAAGCACTTGGGCTTCGACAGGCGCGTATATTGCTCGAAAGTGGGACCTCTGTTTAGATTATCAACAAATTCTCAGAGTTGACCAAAAGGATATCCTGTAGATATTGTAGGTAAAATCTCAGCAGTCGGTGCTTTGCATAGAAAAATGGAAGCATTTCCCTGAAGTCAGTGAAAATTACTCGCCAAAATTCTGTGCCTATGAGAACGTTCGGAACATATCCCTAAACACGGACATTTTTCAGGCAAATGCTAGGAAGAATCTTAGACC